GAGAGTCGCTTCGCATGGAAAGTCGAAACCCACGTGCAACAGTACAATTATAGAAATCGTGCACCTTTAAGCAGAGGAAAGGAGGGCACAAACCAAAATAACAGGTCTACTTGTGATCACAGAAAATGTAAAAGTTTATATTTAACCGTAAAAATGGCCTTGTCGGCAATTTCCATGATCATATTTGTAATCAGCACAAAAATATAGTAATATTTATATAAATCATTAAGAATATCAATAATCAAGAATATTAATATATAAAAATTGTTTTTTTAATATTTGACATTGAAAATGATCTTGTCGGTAATGTTCATAATCATATTCGTAATTAGGGCATCAGAATACAATAGTATACCAATCGATAAGAAAATCGGGGAGTTTAACTTTTCGGAAAGTACACCCAAAAATAAATAGGTTAATAATAAATAAATAGTAGATAAAGATATTTTTCAGTTCTATTGTATTAAAAATAATAATTTTTTTCAAATGTGCTACAACAAAAATTAGCCATTTCTTAATTGGTTTTGTTTAGCAAAATTTAATTTGATTAGGATATTCCCAAATCTATAAAATATTCCAGCCAATTTGCCTAAAATCGTTATATTTTTAATATTATTAACGCAGGATCTTTTTTCAGAATTTTTTTTTCTTTTTCCTTTTGTGTTTTATTTGTTTATTTATTACTTTGTTGAAAATGATTGTTGAAATTAATGAAATAGAAAATTTTAAAATATTTGAAATATATCTTATCAGTGTGTTTGCAACCTATGACTTTCTTTTCAGTGACACGGATCTTGTATTTCTTCGATTATACTTTATTGAGAAAAGAATATTGAAGCTCTATGCGAAAACAGAATGGCAGTAAAACAAGAATTTATCATTGAATATTCAGACTTACTGCGAGAAATAGAGAACGAGAAATCAGAGTTTCTGTTCTTAGATGTTAGAGATCCTAAACTAATTGAGCATTGCAAATTACCAAGATTTATTAATGTAACAGGTGTAAACCTTTCGTTATATATATAAATTTTGGAAAATTTATGGTGTTCATTTCTCAAACGTCACACAGTAATAATATTGTATAATTATCATAAGAATAATATATAACAGTAAGTAATTATACATTTATTTCAGGGACGATAGATGCTTTCATAAGCTGTGACAAAAAGAACTTCGAAAAACAATACGGGATATCTAAACCGGATTTAAAAAAAAAAATTATATTAGTATCCTGCAGTTTTAAAAGAGCTGAAACAGCATTGAAAACGTTGAATAAAAATAAATACGAACAGTATGACAATATCTTTTAGAGAATTATTAGTAGAGATTTATTATAATGAACCCTGGTGAAAAAATGTTGCTAAAATTATTTCACATTTTGGAACACTTCAAAAAAATTTCGATTTAATTTCAGCGATTTTTAACCGAAAAATTCATTTTTGATAAAATTTCAGAAAAATTTTAGCAAAATTTTCAAAAAAATTTTAGCAAGATTTTCAGGGAAATTTTAGAAAATTTCATTGAAATTTCGGTTAGATTTCAGTGATTTTTCAGTATGTTAGCTAAAAAATTCGCTTTCAGTGAAGTTTCAGCAAATTTTCAGTAATTTCGTTGAAATATTCCAAAACATGGAATAATTTCAGCGAAATTTTTTCACCAGGGGAATTCTGTATTCTGTTTTGCAGAGTATATATATATGCGGGAGGTACAGACGAGTGGAGGGCGAAACAGAACAACAACAGACAAAAGTTTATAATCACATATGATCAGTTATTGGAAGTTCAAAACAATCCTGATGTTCTGATCATCGATGTTAGAGAGCCTGAAGAGTTTGATAAAATTGACAAAATAACATTGACAATACCAAATAGTATTAATATAAGATGTAAGAATCTTTCGTTGTATTTCTAAATGTTGGAACTTTACTATTAATTTCTCAAGTGTCATACATAATGTGGTACAATTATCGTATATAAATAATATATAACGATAAGTAATTAAATATACATTTGTTACAGCGAGTGATGTTGTTAAAGAATTCGAACTTTCGAAGGAGGCTTTTAAGACAAAATACACTAAATCTCAGCCGACTAAAAC